AAAACACTAGTAGGTGGTCAAAGTCCAAGAATATAGCCCTTCGTTTATGGAGGAGAAGCTATTTAGGGATATAGGAGATTGATTTGGTGGTTATATTGAATTTGCAGATGAAAATACTGCTTTATTAGAATGTATGGAGGTTTGTATCCATGTCAAACGAAACTACTGTGGTTTTGTGCCAACTGAAATTGAGATTAAGGATAAAGAAGTTTACTTCGTTGCTGATGTTTCTAATTTTGAAGACTCTAACCTCATTGGAAAGGCTTTTAGAGAACATGGAGGGTGGAGGATGGGTATTTGCGTCCGGTGGTTTTTGTCCATTCTCAAGAAAAGTTATCCGTGTCAAACACGGCAGGGAACTTTGACTTTTCTAGGAAATAATTTGTGCATTATACTCATTCCCTATAACGGTAAGGATGGAAATAAGGGCAGCGCGGTTCATAAGAAGGAAAGTAGGGAATTAAAAGGTCTACTGTCTACGTGGGAGAATAAAGCGAAAGCAGCTCAAGAAGCAGCCCAATAAGTAATGAAATTTTAGACGCGGACCTTCAAGTTAGTTTATGAAGATCTTGTCATAGAATGTCAGAGGCTTGGGAGTCCCTCTAAAAGAGCTCTGGTCAAAGATCTTGTTAAGAAGGTTGATTCGGATATTGTTAGTATTCAATAAATGAAATGAAGTGTAATGGATAGACAGTTTATTCAGTCCATATGGAGCTCTCGGTACATTGGATGGATTTCTTTAGAAGATGAAGGTTCCGCTGGTGGTGTTCTTATTCTATGGAATAAGTAGAGGATTTCTACAATGGACTCCGCTTTAGGGGCTTTCTCCATCTCCATTAACTTCTCATTTTCAACTAGCAAGGTGGGGTGGTTCACAGGAGTATATGGTCCGTCTTCTTGTTTTGATAGAGCTAATTTTTGGCAGGAATTACTTGTTTATCCGCTTTATGCCACGGTGCTTGGTGTTTAGGGGGTGATTTTAATGTGGCTCGAAGGTTGTCTGAAAAATACAATAGGGGGTACAAGACAGTTTACGCATAGCATGAAGAGTTTCAACACCCTTATCGATTGTCTTGCTCTCATAGAACCCCCTCTCCATAATGGTTCCTTTACTTGGTCTAATATGAGGAGTAACCCTACTTTAGCTTAAGCTAGATAGATTCTTGGTTTCTAAACTCAGGTTGGATTCTTTTGAGGACTTGAGAGCAGAAAGACTCCTTAGGTCTACTTCAGCTCACTTCCCCATTCACTTATGAGATGGGGGTGTGAAATGGGGTCCTATTCCTTTCCCGTTTGAAAATGCTAAGCTTAAATCACTCTGTTGCTCCTACTGGTTGAAGATTGGTGATCTAGTAATTTGTTAAGGGGTTGGCCAGGTGGGTTCATGGAAAACCTCGAAGGCTTAAAGGGGTGTTGTTGAGCTGGAATATGGGGAGGTTTTCGGCAATATCCAAAGCAGAAAATTGGCACTTTGGAAGGCAGTGAAGGGTTAAATAGAGCAGAGAAGCTAGGCTTCCTTTCGAAAGAGCAACTTAGAGAGAGAAAAGAGTTGAAACTGTAACTGATTGATCTTTTAATGAGAGAAAAGAGCAACAAGTTTTTTGAAGCTGATTGTCCTTAAAAGTGTCTGATGGAAAGAGGGGTGTGTTTCTGGGAAGACGCTTGGGTGGATCCAATCCCTTTGGCCACCACTTTTCCAGATATCCATGGAATCTTCTCCAAAAAAGGGGCCTTAATCAATGAGTGTTGGGTGGTTTCTCCTCACACTTGAAATCTTGGCATTAGAAGAAATATTTTTGATAGAGAACTAGCAAGGTGGGCATCTTTTATTGAGAAGTTGGTTGGCTTTCAACTGGGACAGAGAAGGATAAATTGATTTGGAAAGCAGAAAGCAACGATGTTTTTAGCAAGGTCTGCTTTTTTGTCTTTGACCTCCCCTAGGCAAAAATGAAGGATCATGGGGTGAGCTACATTTAGAATTTTAAAGCTCCAAAGAACCGGGGTTTGAAACCAAACTTCTCCTCAAGAGGATAGATGGGGTGATTCAGGTGAGATCCAATGTAGATCCAACTTTCTATTCACATTTTTCTTTACTCATTATTTTACACATGCATGAATACGGCAAAAAGGCTACAGAGAAGCTTTCCTTTTTGGTCTCTCTCCCCTTCATTGTGTGTTCTCTGCAACAATGAAAAAGAAATGGTTGACCACCTTTTTTTACATTGTCCATTCTCTACCAAGGTTTTGACTTTTGACTTTTGTTCGTTCAATGTTTGGTTTCACGTTTTGTCTTCCACAAAAGATTGATGACTTATTCTTGAAGAATTTTGGTGGACGCTTATTGAAAGATAAATTATTAAATCCTTTGGGGCTGCACAGTGAGGGTTTGCTTTGGCTTATTTGGAGAGAAAGAAATAGTAGGCTTTTTGAAGAGGAAAAGTCCATAGTTGATTCTTTTTGTATGAATGTACAACATCCTGCTTCTTGGTAGACGACAAACCACAATAAACACTTTTGTAATTAGTCTTCAAATGATTGTGAACAACGGAAAAGCCGTAATTCTTTAGCTTTTGGGGGTGGGTAACCTCAACTAACTGCCCTTAGGTTGTTATCTCTTTGGTTGGTTCTCCCTTGATTCTTTTGAATATATGTTCCCCGCTTTTTATTCTTAAAAAAAAAGGAAAAAAAAAGGTCTCTAGGTTGGATGCGGTTAAGAGTCTTAACCACCCATCCCAAAAATACTTAAAAAGAGTGTCTAGTTTATGAGTTTGAAAATTTTGAGCTTGTGTAACCTAAATCAGTGTTTTAAAAGGTTAAAGGTGGCCCGAGGCTTTTCCTCTTGAAGAAGCAAGGCGTAAGCCTCAATTTTAATTAAAAACAAAGAAGGATCAAGTATTGCTAAACATAATTTTTTTTTTTAATATCAAACAATATTTCATTGATGGTATGAAATATACAAAAGGTCCCAAGGGCAATTACAAGAATATCTTCCAACTTGTAATAAGATCATTTAGAGAATAGCTAGTGAAAGGGGCAGAAGCATTTACACCATCTAAAAGCTAGTACAATAACTCTATCAAAAAAGATGTCAAAAGAGAGGGTTTTTTTATTAAAGACCCTATTGTTTCTTTTCAACCATAAGCTCCACAAAAAAGTCCGAACAAACTTAACCCATAAAGTAGCTCGTTCTTTTTTAAAAGGGTGACCCGCCAGGAGGTAATCAAGGAAGAGGGATGGTTTGTTGTGCAAGACTGTTTTCCACCAGAACGCAGTGAGGAGAATGTTTCAAAAACGAGCAGCAAAAGCACAATGAATGAAGAGGTGTGACCTTGGGATTCAGATGCCTTGTAACAGAAACGACAGCAGCTAGGGGAGAGGGCATGATGAGGGAGCTTCCTCTGAACTCTATCGTGTGTGTTGATTGCCCCATGACTAAGCTCCCAACAGAAGAGTTTAATTTTCTTGGGACATTTTCCTTGCCAGATGCAGGGAAAAAGGGTGGAGGCTGGTTGGTTGTCATTGGTGGTAAGGATGTTGTAGATGGATTTGGTGGAGAAGGATCTGTTTGTTTCCAAGGGCCAAATCCATAAGTCCTCAGTAGGGGTAGACTCATTTAATAAATGACAGAGGTGAAGCGAATCTGTTAGTTCATCATCCTTTAGGGGTCTGCAGAATCGGTAACCCCAGGAAGAGGTGTTTGTCGACCAAAGATCAGATATTTTTGCCTCTTTATTTGTTGATAGAGCAAAAAGGATTGGGAAGAGGCTGGCCAAAGTTCCATGTGAGTCCATCTGTCTAGCCAGAAGCTGTTTTGGCTATTTTTCCCCACTTAGGAAATAGCATAGGATTTAATAAGACTGATTTGTTGTATAATCCCAGTCCATGGCCCTTTGTATTGTCATATAAAAGTATAAAATAAATCACTGGTCAAATTGCCCCTTAAATAAAAGTTCTAAAAGGTCATTCTTAACATCACCACTCCTATCAGACTTATTCTATAAATTTTTGTCTTCAATATTTTTAAAGCGTAAGTAGTTTAAGTAGTAATAGGTTGAAGTGCACAACTTGTATATTAACATTTCACACACAGAGGAACCTTTCTATTTTCTAAGAATGAAGAAAATTAATATTATTCTTCTAATCATTACACAAGGCATAAAAACTTTGAGCTTTGGTGCATTTTTATGGAGGTGTAGGCCTCTTATCGTCCAAAGAAGGCACAAGTTCAAAGCTAAAAGTTAGAGTCTTGCCTCAAGGCAAGCCTCAAGGTCTCAAAAGCCTTATAAAACATTAACCTAAAGTTGAGAAACTTAGATATGTGTACCTTACATTTACATTATGCAAAACAATGAGTTATATTTGGTTCGTGGGATTGTAATTGGTGAAAATTAGTTCATATTAGAGGTGCATTTCATTAATCTAGGTTTTCGTAGTATGGATTTATGTAGCCTAGCAATTTTTTTTTTGATATCCGTGTGTCCGGGCCAGCTTACACGCACCTCGACTATTGTAGCATATAGCATTAGAAAAAATACGAGGTCTACAATAAGCAAACTTACGTGTCAAACTGTGTTCAACTCTGTAATCTGAGGTTATATAAATATATTTCCTGTGTCAAACGGCACCTTATTGATTAATATAACTGAGAGACTAAAAAGTCACTGCAAACCTGATTGAAAAGAGTTGCAGCTTGGCAAGTGTCAACCATTATCAGCAGCTCCTTAAATCTATCAGTATAATATAGCTACCGACATTAATGACCATCAAAGTGTACATACATTAGGTAAGAGAATAAAAACTGACAGCAAAGAAGAAATAAAGATTAGTTTCCAATAAATTTGCAGAACAGATGGCTTTTGATGTCTATACTCCGATTTATTTTATTGTTGGTTTTTTAACCAAGTTTCATGTACTTCCATTAATCAAATAAGACAACCATCTAAACCTGGTGTTGAGAACCTTAAAAGAACATTTGATATCCTAAATACCAGAAAAACTTAAATCCAACTTCAAAGACATGTATGCTTAGAGTTTGTTTATTTAATCACTGGGCCAGCCATCAGGATTTCTGAAATTTCAGTTAATTGTAACACTCAGCCAACATTTTTATTCATTTTATTGTTGGTTTTTTAACCAAGTTTCATGTACTTCCATTAATCAAATAAGACAACCATCTAAACCTGGTGTTGAGAACCTTAAAAGAACATTTGATATCCTAAATACCAGAAAAACTTAAATCCAACTTGAAAGACATGTATGCTTAGAGTTTGTTTATTTAATCACTGGGCCAGCCATCAGGATTTCTGAAATTTCAGTTAATTGTAACACTCAGCCAACATTTTTTTTTAGTCCAACAAATGTGGGTGGGGATTCAAACTCATGACCTATTGGTCAAAGGCGTGTGCCAATTACCGTTGAGCTAAACTCATGTTGGTAACACTCAGCGAACGTTTTTCTTTAGTATAAAACAATCCAATTAACATTTGTGAAGTAAGACCATACAAAAAACATTCGCACCTATGTTTTTCTTTCATTTGTTTCACCGCATCAGCTAAATCGTGACTCTGGAGCTCTTCAGAATCCTGGAACTTCAAAAATTCATCTCCTCCATGTCCTGTCATGTAAAGAAGAATATGGCTTCCTTCGTCACTTAACAAGCGTTTTGATCTTGGAACAGCAACCTCGTGGCGCCCAGTCAATACCCTTAAGAAATTTTCAACTGTGACCTCATAACCTCGATAATCAACCTAAGTGTAAATAAAACAATAAATTATTTCAAGAAATCATGACTTGAGTGTCTTAATTTTTTTCCCTCTTTTTCTTTGGATAAAAAACAATTTCATCAATGATATGAAATTACAAAATGGAAAGACACCCAAATCCAAGAGTTACAAAAAAAACTTTCACTCAGTGATAGCCAAACAAACTACACTGTCAAAAAACCTATCCATTGGGAGCTCTTTCCCGCAAAAAATCTGATGATTCCTCTCTTGCCAAATAAGCAAAATAAGCTTCTTTTCCTTTTTGAAGGGATGACCAAAAAAAAACATGTGGAATGAGAAAAGAAGGATCTTTGGGAATGTCGTAGACCATCCAAAAGAAGAGAGCAAAATCTCCCAATTAGATATTGTAAATTCACAAGAAATGAAGATGTGGCTCTGTGATTTGGAGTTTTTTTTACATATGGAGCACCAATGAGGAGAAATGCACATATATGGCATCCTACGTTGGAGCTTGTTGTTGTGAGTGTCTTGAACTATGAATCTATGATTAACATGAATCACCGCATTTCAAAAATATAAGATATAAGATTTTATATGATATATGGTGTAGAAAAAACGTGGGGATTTCTTAAAGGATTAAAAAATTTATTAGCAAAAGCAAACCACAGCATTTATTTATAATCACTCTAAAGCACTCTCGAATTTGAGGTTTAAACAATGTATACTTGGAAAATATAAGATGTAAGGTGTCATTTTGTTCCTTTTATCTTTTCTATGGAAGGCTTGTTTGTATAAGCACAAGTACAACTCAGCCTTTCATAGAAGATTGATTTTACATTTCAAATTAAAAGAAAAAAAAGGAAATCCTAATCAAAATCAATGTCAAAATCCGCATCTGAGAAATAAAGTCCTAAATCCCAAATGGAGGAAGGCTTAGAAAATACAACTGGCGACAAAGAACAGCATGGTTCCACCATTTTTATACGAGGTATCCATGATATTATTTTCAACTAACAATATCCCCAAAATCTCATGGCGATGACATCAACTTATATTTGACATCTATATTTGAGAAAATGGCTAAAATTTAGAACTATTAGCAATACCATATCAATAAAGTTGTTGCTCAGGGTGTGTCTGTAAGATCCATTGCCAAAATGAACGTAGATAACTGAATGTGGTTTTAGATAGAAAAACAGTGTGCAGAGAAACCAACCTCAACATTATCTCCATACAAATTGATTTTTTGATTTTCATTGTTGAACACTTTTGCAGGGTACTTGTTCCGAGCATTGCAGGCTATGTCATCCGCCAGCATAAGTATAATCCGCTCATCGGGTATTCCTAGCCGTTTAACGGTCCTAAAACAAATGCAACGAATATATCATTCAGACGAACGACAAGCTCGATCTTACAAAGAAAACTAAAACGTCAAAGTTATTGACTTACCTATACAAGGATAGTGTATTAGCCATGTGGCGATAATTGAACCTGAAAGACCACAATCACAACTTATTTTGAGTGGTAACTGGACGAAACAGTTATATCTTGAATTTTCTGAAGATTAAAATCGTTTTTCATAGTAAACAACTAACTGAAAAGTATACACGGTAAACAATAACTTGGCACAACTAACTTATCTCACATTATAATACTGTTCTCCAAACAGTTTATATCTTTAGACCACTAATATACTGCTTTCATGCATCCACCGGGCAGGACTCATCTCATCCTAAAATATATTGCACGAAAGATAGAACTGTTGACGCTAACTCAAGTGAGCACTTATCATCAATCATCCAAGAAATCAAACATAAAACTTTTTGACAATACAAATTAGACGATCTTAACAATCAAAAAGCCGAAACATCACCAATTTACAAGAAAATGCAAATACCAGAACGTCGGAATATATTTGGACTAACCAGTAACGAGAGGTACAGACTAGAACTGCCCAGTTATTAGTATGCATAGTCGTCTGGGAAGGGGAACCATAAGCCATACAGTTGCCCATATAACCGAGACCCAAAATCAGAATCAGAGGTAAAGCCATTGTAGAACTGCAAAAGTTGTACATCTCGTAGAGCCGCACTAGAGAACTTCGATTGAGTCCGGTTTTAATCTCTTTCCCGTTCATATACATTTCCCTTGAGTTCTCATTTCGTTTCGAACTACAGATTGAACTTGCTTGGAATTCGCGTTGTTGGGCTAGATTTCCTAAAGAGAAAGAAGAGGGAAATTTTCGTAAGTGCCCTTTCCTAATGCTAGAATTAGAAATGAGTACGATCAACAAACCTTAGAGACTTTGAAGGATTAAAAGAATCAGATTTATTGTAACGCACCAGGATTTCATCATCCAAGAACCGGTAAAACAACCTAAAAAGTTCCACTTAAACAAGAGAGTTAAACCACTAACCACTCAGACCAAGCAAAATTCAACCCTGCTGGCCACGGGTTGTAGTCGGAGAATAGCGTGTAGCCGTTGGATCTCGCTGGATTTCGTCGGAGGGATCCACCGCAACTGCTGCAAAGAGAACGCTCGAGACTCGTGTTTCGCTGTAGGTGATAATGTCGCCGTGGGTCACCGTCGATCACAACAGATTGCGCCGCCGTCGCGCCTGAGATCGTTGCTACTGCTGCCGTGGAGTTTTGTTCGCTACCGCCGTTGCTGATCTAATCAGAGCGGAGGTCACGAAAGAGATGCCGGAGAAGGGGAGCTGTCGGAGAACAGTTGGGGGAGAAGAAGGCTAGGCTTCTATTCTTTTTTGTCCTTTTTCCTTTTCTGTTCTTTTGTTTTTTTTACCAAAAAGAAAGTATTAAACCAAATAATACGGCTAATACGAGAGAGATCACTATTAGAATTTTGAATTTTCGTGTCGCTCATGACAGTATACTACTGTTCAAATTTTAATAAAAACATCCCGAAAGGAAAAAATGCATCTTTGGAGGGAAAAAATGGAGATTTCTGGAATTTTGACATTCTTGTGACGTTTTAAAACGTCACAAAAAGTTTGACAAAACAATCGTTTTTCGTGACATTAAAAAATGTCACAAAAGGGTGAGGCGCATTTTTGGCGGAAAATGACGGAATGTACCGGATTTTTTACTTTTCGTGACCTTGTTTTCTAACCGTCACCAAAAAGTCAAAAGTAAGTACCTTTTTCTTGACGTTTATTAAATGTCACAAAATGTAGATACACGGCTGAGAAAAGATGAAATTATTCGAAATGCCGACTTTTTCGTGATGTTTTAGAATCGTCACGAAAGAACAGTGAGGAAGTTGGCGGGAAAACTTGATTTTTTTACTTTTTTCATGACGTCTAAAAAACATCACAAAAAGTTGTAAATATGACCTTATCGTGACATTTAAGACACGTCATGAAAATGATATGAACCAAGGAGCTCCCTTTGTTATGCCTCATGGACCGATTACAAGATTGAGAGCAAGGAAACTTCAACAAACTTTACTACTTCGTGCCCAAGCGTTCATGAACTCGACAAGAGAATTAAAGGAAGATGTGCAAGATGTTGGAACAATTCACTACAATTTGGTGCAAATTATACATTTCTAAGTGTTTTTAAGGCAAGTTAAAGTCCACTTGGTCAAGGTCAAAGTTAGCTCCATCAAGACAAGTCAAAGTCAACTCATTCAATTAAAAATCCAAGTCAAACACCCACATCCCTAGTTATGGATGGGATTGCATTTATTTATGTTGGCTTTCCATTTTCTTAAACTTTTCATTTGCCTGTCTTTCCATTTATTGAAGTTATATCTTTTCATTTGCAAGCATTTTCATTTCTTGTAAGTTATATCTTTTCATTTACAAGACTTTTCATTTCTTGTAAGTTATGAGTCTTTCCATTTTCTTAAGACCTTTCATATGGCTTGCCATGATGGCTATATAACCTTGAGATGTCTTGTTGTAAACACAATTTGAAGTTTTATGAAAAGTGATTTTTCTCATTAGCTTGGTTGAGAGCTTTATCTCCCATTTCTTATGCAATTTATTGTGTTTTTAGAATTTTTATGTTAGGATCATTCAAGCGGTGTTGTTTATACCTCTTATGGAGTGATTCGAATCACGGGTTTAGAAACGAGTTTTCTCTACTCTTGATATTGATCATCAAGGTAATCCGTTCTTAAACTTTTCTTTGGGTTGATTCCATATTTGTTTTTGGGGTTTTTGGGATTGTGTTCTATGGGTCTTGTTCGTTAGCAAGGTTCTTACTCAAACTCTCAAGGGTTTCTTAACAGAAAAGGTGAGGCTTTTTATGAAAAGGTGGGAAAACTATATCTTTAGTGACGTTTAAAAAACGTCACAAAAAGGTGTGCAACAAATTTTTCGTCATTTATCACATTTTTAAACGTCATGAAATGGTGAGCCGTGTCTTTTAGCAAGAAAATGTATTTCTTTTTGTTCTCACGAGTTTTTTTCCACTGGCACGAACGGGGGAGAGCATCCTCACTCCTGCCCCACACCATTACCATCTATACTTTATATAGAATTATATCTCTCTAACATATATATTTCCAATTTTTTAACTTTTTTAAAAACATAAAATGAAAAATAATTATTAAACATATACAAATTTTTTTATTTTTAAAACAGAAAAACCACAGACTAAAAACAGATATCACTATCAAACGAACCCTTAAGTTTATACATTTTAGAAAATAGATTTAAATCAAAATATTATTTAAATATTAACTCCCAGCCAATTGCAAATTTTATTTTTTACTTTTTAATTTTATCTATATATTTTAATACAAAAAATGTTCATAGATTTTTTTTCTTCCATCGAAAAAGATTTAATTAATGCTTACAATTCAATTACAAAGCATAGAGAAAATTGAGAAATTAACTTAAAGATTTTTAAAGTTAATTTGTTGGAATTTAAGCTAACAAACATAAATGCCTAAAATTTAGGCGGTAGAAATTCTCCCTAAGTAAATTGTGCACTCCATTAAAAATAAATAATATTTTTTAATTTATTTTATATTATACTCTAGAAAAAAATAAACATTTAGGAATGGGTTAATTTCCATTGTTTTTTTATTATTTTTTACCCTAAATATCCTTACCTTTTTCTCATTTTTCCTAAATTTCTTTTCTCGTTTCTCCATCGTAAACACAGCTACCCCTCCCTCCCTTGTGAAGACCACTCCACCCGAACGATCGAATCCACCGTGAATGCTGTTGAACGATCGATCAAATCCATCGTCGCAGCCACTGAACGCCGTCGCCGCTGAACGGTGGTCGTCTCCGCTGCTACTGTACCCCGAATCTCATTGAGGTACYGTCGCAGCCACTGAACATGGTCGTCGCTGAACGGTGGTTGTCTCCACCGCTGCTGTATCCCGAATCTCGGTAGCAGCTGAATGTCGCCGCCGCCGGCCGCCTCCGCCGCCGTCAGTGAACGTTGTTGTTCGTCAATCTTCAAGTATTGTCATTTTCTATTCTTTCTTTTTGTTCATAAATTATCACATATGCGTCAGAATATTTCTGCGTGAGGATCGATGGACATTTATCTTAGATTAACATGTTGTCATGGATAATTTATTTGTCTTTCTACCTTGAACTTATCAGAAGTTGGAATTAATTATGAGACTATTTTATAGATTCAATGACTTATCAAAACCATAAGTACTTGTTTCTTTGTTGGTAGGTCATCTAAGTAGGGGCATTGTCCCTTAGTTCCGTTGATCTCTCATTTCTAATTAACATGTTGCTAGTTTAATTGGGTGGAATATAAATCATTTGTTCTCTATTTCTTTTTCTCACCTATTCAAAATGCTCCTACGATGCTACTCCTTTTCAATCCAAATCACTATAAACTAGCTTGAAGAACAAGGTATGCAAACTTAATCTTATTCTTTGGAGTTGATAAAAAAAACACAGTTTGGAATAACAAAAAAAAAAAAACAGTTGAAAACTTGATAGTCCAAACTTAACTCTCTCTAAAGTCTTGGAAGTAGATAAATCTAAGCAAAGTATTATAAAGATTAATATTGCAATTATCTATCCGTAAGATAAAAACATGTTCTCGCCTTAACCTCCTTAGGGACTCTTGCAAGAAAGCCTTTGTGCTAAAATAAAAAAAATTTACCCTTTAAGGTTAGATATAACAACTAATCTCAAGGAACAGAGGCATGCAACAATCACAATATGAAACAGTTCACTTAAAGGAAAAACGATTTTGAAGATAAGTCCCCAGCAACGGCGCCAAAAACTTGTTGGGACTTTCTCTACCTTAAAAAGATTAGAGACTCATGCAAGCGCACACGGTCACAAGTAATACTCGGAAGTAATCCAAGGTCGAATCCTCAGGGACTTGTTACTTTTCAAAATCAAGTAATGTCGTGAAATGGTTCAAATATGCAAATGTGATTTAGGAAGAAAAATATGATGAAATATTGTTGTTTGGGGGTTTAACTATCAAACAATTTAATAAAACTCAACCTTTTTATTTCTTACCTTAGTTTTGATGCAAAACATGGAAAATACACTTTGTTGGGAAAATGCACTAGGTGCAATTCTAGCTTTTCTTGGGAAACTGAGTTCTACTCTTTCACTACCGCTTTTGTTTGCTGCAGAGGCTAGGGTAACCTACAATTATATGTCTATGTGTGATTACAATCCTAGAGAATAATTATCAACTCACACGCATTATGGTTTAGAGGACCTATATTTAGGACCATATTTTATGCGCTTATGTCTAAGTCACATCCCATATTGGTTCCCTATTATTTTACCTAACTTAACTTATAAATCTTTAGCAGCGGAAATCACAAAGTTATTATCCTTAAATAAAACAAGTAAAAATGTGGTATAGTCATAATTAAAGTATAGATTATAAATAAAATTCAACTGTGTCTCATATCTCCTCCTCGTCAATGCCAGGTCATCCTCGACGTTATTCTCGTCAACTATATAACTATCTGTAAAAAAAATTGAAACAACATGGAATGAGTATAAAAAAATACCCAGTAAGTAGTTCTCATCATAAGGAACCATTCATGCTCAAACACACACATCATGCTTATATGCATGCATACCTCAACCTAACATATAAACCAACGAACAACTTAACTTAAGATACTTGTGCTTGCTAGCATAAACTTACATATCTAAATCCTTAACTTGGCGCAATGCTATGCAGAAATACCCCATACCATAACCGTCAATTCTGCATGTAATATTTATAGGGTAATTACCCCCCATAAATACCATTAACATGAACTAATTTGTTTCCTAGGGCCCAGCCTTTAACAGAAACCATATATGTCATATCATACATCTAGCTGCATAACATAACTGCTTAATTTGGGTATTTCATGCATAACATTAATCTTACCTAAATCCATGACACATAAGACTACTAACTTCACTACGAATGCAATGCATCACACATTATGTCATGCTTTACCTAAACATGATTTGCTATTAAACATACTTAAAATGACATGAGAAAGCCATAGAATCATAACATGCTTTGTAATACATAAAATTTAACCACCATTATCATTCAATAACAAAATATATTTAAGCAACATGAATAACATAATTCAATAACAAAACAATGCAACACATAACATAATTCACTTACAATCAAACAATAATACAACAAAACATACAAGGCGGTAACTTATGATAGAATCCACTTACCTAAATTTCGCAAACTAAAAGAAATTCCTTAAAGCTTCCTAATAACAATTAACACAACTAAAATTAGGACTCAATTACCTAACCTAAGCTTTCTCCAATAAGTTCTCAT